TGCCGCGGCCCCTCGGCTGGGCTGGCCGTGCCGCTGGTGGATAAGCCTGCGCTGTAGCACGTCCCGATGACTTCCCGGCTTCTTGGAGCGCTATACGGTGTGCTTGTGTTGGGGGGAAGATAGAGGAGCAGGCTGCTTTATCTCAGCCTCGTTACTACTGCTTTTTATCTGCATGTAAAGGAACCTGGTGGAGGGTTTAGATTCCTCTTTGCAGCTTCAGGGTTCGGAGCTTGAATCTTGCTTTGAAACGGGTATTGAGGTTCCTGGTAGCTGTGCTGACCAAGCAGTTTTTTTCTTGTCGCTGTTTCAGCCCCAAGATGAAATAGAAGTTGAAGATGGGTTTAAACAGTATGATGGTAAGGCTTTGCTACAGTGTTTTCAAAGTGTAACTCAAAAACTTGAGTATTTTGATGCTTTGTGTGCACTGTTTTTGTACTAACTCTTAGTAGATGATGCTTAATTACTGCTGAATAGTAGTTGTCTGTTTTGTCTTAGTGATTAGTGCATTAGATATGGAAGCTATGATGAGTACCATAAACGCTTGGATAAAAAACCCAGTCAAGTTTGAACGTTCTCATGGGATCAACAACACACTGGATGCCCCAATCCTGCACGATAAGGAGGGAGGAGATGAAACAGTCCACATTCTTATTGTTGAAGGCTTCCTGCTTTACACCTACAGGTAATCAAATGTGACTTCATATATTTTGATTTGATTTTACCTGATAGGCAACCCTCCAATGGAATAAAAGGACCTGTTGTAAACCAAGAGTTAGCAGCTGGTTATTGACTACTGGTGAGTTCAGGTGTCACAAGTCTGAAGCTGGCTCTAGATACAGGAAATGGATACAGTTTTACCTTTGCGTTTCTTGGTACTGCGCAAACAGTCTGGCTGTAACCAGACGTATCTCTTTCAGGCCACTGATTGACGTATTCCACCATCGGTACTTTCTTTCCATTCCATATGAAGAGTGTAAGAGGAGAAGGAGGTAAGTTTATCTTTCTAAGTTCCCTTGCTAGCCCAACAACATCTTACTCCATTCAAGACTTTGTTTCTCTGAAGTTTTTAGATAAGAAAGGATAAACACTAGTGTAGCTGTTGTGTTAAAGATTGTAGCTTCCTTCACCAAACAAACCCAAAAGCTTTCTACCGAACTACTGTGCAAGACAAATGCTCCTTTTCAGCACAGATCTTTCAATAGGTTTTCTCCCTTTCTGGTTTTCCAGTGATACGGTTCCCAGGTCTTGAACTGTCCTGGGGTTTTATATTTGGCTGTATTGTTGCACACACAGATAGTACTTAATGCAAATAAAATGTGTTAAACTTGAAAAAGTTATGTTTCAGAGGAATAAGCAGACAGCTATTTTATCCAAAGTTAAGAAAAGGCAATTCATCAATGTTAAGATCAGTCTGCCTTAGCAATGCTTTTTGCGTCTTGAACACTTTGGACCTGCACAGCAAATTCCAACTTCTTGCAGGTATCTTTATGTTTGCAGCTTATGCTGAATACTGATTTTTGATAAGCTCAGAAACCAGACTGAAGGCAACAGGGTCAGGCTAGCATGGAGAGAAACTGAACAAACTATCTGTCATTTCCCTAAACTGTAATTCGACTACTCTTGAATAACAAGGTCTTAATTTACAGTTCAAGGAATTACACTGTACCAGATCCACCTGGATTGTTTGATGGCCATGTTTGGCCTATGTATGTAAAGCACAGGAAGATAATGGAAGATCTTGGAGTTGATGTGGGTAAGTCTTTAATGACAAAAGCACTTCTGAAAGATTGCTTTATGAGAGCACGCTTTTCAAACCTGGGATGTACTTACTGGTTAAATGCATGAGAGGAGTTGAAGCAGGTGGATGGAGTATATTTCTCTGATACCAGTCAAGTGCATGCTCTTTAAATTAGGATCTGGCAGGCTTACAGAAACATTCAGTTACAGCTCTCTCATTTTACTTCCTTACTTTAAGTGCACTTGAATGGAACAAAATCCAAGGAGGAGCTGTTTAATGATGTGTATGGACAGATCCAGAATAAGATTGAAGAATTACTTAACATGCAGGTACATGTTCATGCTTGTAATTGCAACTTGAAGGCAACCCTTTTGGAGGCTATGTTGAAAAAGCATGAAGCTAGAACTTGAAATACATTCATGTATATCTTTCTGTTTAGAAATAAGCTGCTGCTGATGATTCTTGTGAGTGAAGATGATTCCTGTTTGCGCTGCGCTGTCTACCTGACTGCCATTAAAGTTCCAGCTTCTGTGAAGACTCTCAACTCTTAAATTCGACTTTGTTCAATCTTCCCTTGAAACTGAGTTATATATGGTCATAATTAAAAAGCACTTCCCCCTTCCCTTGTCTGTCATTTTAATTTGTGCTTCAGACTGGTATGTGGCCTCAGATTATCTCAGTGAAAGGAATGCCTCACAGACTGTAGATTAGGAGAAGACTATGTTCTTAACATGTGGAAGTAAAACATAGTGGAACTGACATGAAGTGGCACAGCTATCCTAGGAGAGCATGTGTATATATGTCTTGATGTGTATATATAAACATATGCTGCTTTGAATGCTTTTCTTTTAATAACTTGCATGAGTTTCTATAATCCATCTAATTAGGCAGCAAGTATGCTGCTTGATGAATAAATTAGGATTGATTTTGCTCTTCAAAAATGAGGGAACAATAGGAAGTTTTTCAGGCCATTTTACTAGCATTGAATTATTCTCTTAAAGCCAGTGCATGCATTGATCTCAGATGCAGAAAAGTCAGTTCAGAATCAGGTAAAAGATTTTTTTATATATACAACAGCTTTAAAATTACCAATTGCTCTAGAAGATTTCAATAATGTTCTGTAGCTTAAGGCAAGTTCACACTTAAGTTCAAACTCCTGTGTATGTACAGAAGTAGTTTAAGGCCTTGGTTTAGGTAGAGCAGTGAAAGAGCATCCCTAGTAGTAGGAAAAGTGAATTTAGGACAAAAGCTTGATTTTAAAAAAAAAAAAAAAAAAATCAGTTTAGTAGGTGGCTGTCCAAGAGGGAAGAGTGGTATTGATCCATTGTGAGACCAGGGTTTGATCAACACAGCAAAGCAGTTACTTCAAGCCCAGATGCATTAGCTTCCTGACAGGAGCTGGTCCTCCCCAGTATCCCCTAGAAATGGAGAAAGTTAGTTCATCACATTTTATGTATTTACTATCAAAGTAGGGGTTGGGGGGAGGGTTTTTGTTTTACTCCCATAAGATAAGATACCATACTTGATAAGGGAGGAGTGTTTGGGGTTTGTTTTGGAGAGGCACCTCTGGGTAAGGGATGCCTTTCTGTGCAACAACCCCCATTCTGCTTGAACAAACCCCTCTTACTAGCAAAGTGCCCAGAACCCTCAGAAAGTCAAGGTCTTAGTCATGATTAAGGATGTACTTCACCTCCTGTTCTACTAAAGAACTAAGCCAAAACAGGCATCTGTACCTGGCTTTTTTCCGAATTAGTACAGCAGCTCTGCCTGCTCAGAATTTACTTACTTCAGTAGTGCATTCCAGTACAGCAAAGGCATCATATCAGCTTTCATATGGTACATGGTTACTCTCTCCTTACTCTGGTCAATGGGAAAGGTCTCCAAAGGCTGAGCATTGTAGTCAAATTCTGCTAGAATCACCTTGTTGTAGCCCGTTACTAGTGGGCAGGAAGTATATCCATCGTACTGCAATGAAGAATACCCCCTCTTCATTAATCTGAGCAACATCTAAATGCGGAGGTATCACAAGCCATATTGTTAATGTTCATATTTCCAAATAAGTCACTAGGAGGTTTCTGCATTTGTAGTGTTAATACCAGTGAGCATGGAAGGCTGCTAAGCCAATTATGGTTTAAAAACCATAATACTGTTTTATTTCAAATGTAGATTTGCTTAAATTAGAACTAACCTAGAACCACAGGGCTTTGTGTCATTAATTGCTGGTTATTATTGTAACCAGAATAGCTGGCCAGTAGATCAGGATGCTGGCTTTAACAGACAGCATAGAAAGAGGACCTTGAATATAGTTGTAAGAATTTCCAGAGAATTGCAGGAGTACGGATGATGATATTCAGGTTAGTACCCCAGGGAATATTAATTGAGAAGCCATATGTAAAAATGAAAGCCAAGTCTCAAAGAGAAATTTGAATATAGTTACAGGCTGAACTCTGTAGTGTAAAACCTTCAATTTAACTCCTTAAGAAGAGTACTTTTACCTAGTAAGATGTGTAAGGTTTGCAGGGGTTTTCTTGGAGTAGGGATTATACTGATCAACAGTTCTACTCTAAATAAGTGAAGAACCCAGCCTAATCAGCCTTTCGACTTACTTGACTCAGAAGTCAAGGAATTAAATAGGTAATATTTCTAACAGCAGTATCAAGAATATGAATTCTAAATCACTATCGTGCATCTATTACGCAACTAAATCACTATTATGACATACAGTATTTAGCCATTTAGCACCCCCACTGCTGATGCAAAGCCCTTCCTGCCTTCCAGGTCATGCAGTTTAGCTGCTTGCAAGACTTCCTGCATAAGAATGGAGAAAACATTCAAGATAGCTTCTCACTAAGGCAAGATCTGTAGGTACCTTTTTAGTTGGCAACTGGTTCTTCATTACCAGGGAAATAGTTTGATCAAGCACTCCAGACTGGGCAGCTACATGCGAAAGAAAGAAAGAAAAAAAAAAAAAAAAAAAAAAAGGCATACTAAGGCTTTGTTTCAGGCAGCAGTCATTGTCATTGCTAGAGCAAACACTACTGGCTACGCATTTTGTTGGACAATTCAGCCGTAATTGAACTTACATGTCAAATCAGTTTGGGAAGTTTACAGTCCCAGATAAGAACAAAGAGAAAAAAAAAATTGGACTAATGCTTTGGCCTCACTGTTCCCAACATGCTAAGGCTTTATGAAACTTGAGCTGTATATTTTCAACCTGTGCCCATTCTCCTATGCTACATTATACTTGTTCAGTCTTCCCAAACACTAAGATTCTGACACACTGAAGTTTTGTTTCATTTTGAGTGCTGTAAGGGAAGTATTCTAGACCCACTTGCTGGAATAGTTGACTATGCCATTCATCATGTAACACTGATAACATACTGTATAGCCTTTCTTTTTTTTCCACCTTCTTATTTGCTTTTTTTTTTTTTTAGTTGTGACAGCATATACCTAAAGTGTTTTTACATTGGACCCTGTGGCTACAAGTACAGGACATGCGATTCCTCAATAGTGACTTATCAGTTAGCTGACACATATGCATGAGCTGCAAAGATAGAGCAGAAAGTTTTGTTACTGAATGATGGCGGAATGCAAGAGTAGTATGCTCATTTTATGCCATTCCGTGAATGCAGAAAATAGAATTAGTTCATCTGTGAGGCATTTAGAAAAACAGAACTGTGGGTTAATGCCATCAGGTTGGTCTGTAGCTAATTAGTTGGCCCAGGAGACTTCAGCCTTTTTGAAAGCTGGAAATAAATGAAGTCAAGACCTCAGGAGTAGCAAACTAAACAAAAAGCTTACCGTCACTCCCCCACTTTTCATTACACACACATGCAACTTTACCTACAGCTGCAGCAGTTTTTGATGTTGGAAGGTTGGTGCAGTCTCCAATGCCAAATACATTAGGATACTTTTTATGTTGTAGAGTTTCCTTATCTACATCCACCCAGCCAATTTCATCCGAGACAGGACTGTTGATGAGTACATCAGGTGGCCCCATTGGGGGTGTAACGTGAAGCATTTCATACTAGACAGAAAGAAAAGGCACTCAACTCAATGGCTAGTTTATCAGAGCAAATCATACCTGTGCTGATATAAGGCAATAACAGCAGTGTGGAGAATAGTTTTCTTGGTTGGTTGATTTGTTGATTTTTTTTATTTTAAAAGCACAACTATACAGAATGAAAATTTGCTCTCAAATGCAAAGTGCATCCTTTTATTAGCATGAACCTTATCAGGCAACTCCATTGAGACTGGTGTAACAGCAGCTTGCCTTCCCTCCATGTATATCTGAGACATTCTCAAGTTACGCTAACAAGGCATACTGGACTCCAGGCATAGCTTCTGAAATATTTTTTGATTGTCTCCACCTTAGTTTCAAACTTTTTAATCTTCTCCTAAAGTTAGGTATGGCGCACTCAGGAGGTAATGGCAGTATACAACAAAGCAGACGTTACGTTGTTAGAGCATGGCAGTTATGTTACAGTATACAAGGAAAAGAAATAGAACCAAACAAGAGGTCTGAAAGCTCCTGACCTGATGAACTTCAGTCACTCCGGGCTTCTCCAAGTTCTCAAACACAGCTTCCTGCTTGTCTGCTCGAACTTCTACAAGGTTGCGCTTATAGTTCACAGCAATATTCCTCTCCTTTATTATTTCAACCAATGCATCAGCATACTTCTTAACACCAAAAATTACACCAAGTGAAGTGTTGAACATTATGTTTGCTCTGGAACGTTTTCCTGTCTGCACAGAGATATCAAATTAGCCTTTGCTATTAAGAAACTGTGACAAGCTAGCAGAGACAAAAGAACCATGCTGCACGACTGAAGAGCTGCTAGAACTATTAATGCAGTTCAATTATTAATGAAGTATTAACATTAGAACTCTCGAGACACAGCTATTTCACACCATGGTAGAAGCTAGACAAGATAATCTTCACCCTTTCTGAGCAAGGTACTGAAGACACCCCACGCAAATTGCTAGTGAGCAGAGGTGGCTGCAGTTCACTGAGGAACTGCCATATGCAGGTTAAGCACTTGCAGCAGCTTAGCATTATATAGCTTTCTGAAACCTTCAGTTCTACGCATTATTCAGATACTCGCCTGGTAGATAGATCATGAAACTTAAACACATATGAAGCCTGACACTTCCACTTGAAGTTGTCTTTTGTTTCCACTAAGCTCGCTTTAACAGCCTGGCTAAGACTCCTGCTGGTGCCGAGACAGTGCGCCACAAGGAGCAACCGTAGCCACTTTTCAGACTAGCAGAAAGGTAAATGGCAACAGGTATTAAGTACTTAAAGTAACAAGAATTACTTAATTCCAGTCAGCATTATTTTAGTGCACCACCTGAAGTTATAAATCAGGCTCAGAACAGTTGTATCGGTGGCTCACCAGAAGCAGGGTAAACAGTTCTTTCCTTATGGATGCTGAATTCTACAAGTTTCTCCAGTATTAAATATATGCTAAATATTTATGTATGATTCAGTTAGTTTCATTTATCATACATTAATAATAGAAAAAACAACTCAGTCACTTTAATTTAATAATCCCAAGTCACACTCCTCTTGTGCGGTATTTGTTTGTTTTAAAGATAATATGAACCCCTTAGAACAAGCCTTCCTTCTGACTCTGGGAGCAAGCACTGGCAGAGAGAGTAACGTACTTACTTTCCTCCAGTAGGCCTCTGATAAATACATGATCTTCTGAGGAGCCCCTGCACACTTCACTGGAGTATTTGGAAAAGTGAAGATAGCATTTCCTTCCTTGAAATCTTGTAAAGCTTTCCATGTTTTCTCTACCGTATGAACTGAATAATTGGAACCTATTTTAGGGTGTTCAAAACCCTCAGGCAAGCCTTTGATCTAAGAAAATGAAATTAAGGTTTAAAGTACAGATGGCAAAAATTTTGTCATCAAGTATTAAATGCAGACTTGAGAAACAGCTATTTAAGAAGGCTCTAGCAAAAAGAAAGCCCATACATACTTGCTAGTTGGCGTTTTTTAAAATAAGCCTAGCAATCAAACAGATATTTCCATTAGATGATTTAGTAGATGTAACATTTACTGAAATGATTCTGGTCTGCAACTCTAGTAGCCTACGTGTTCAGTGCAGACCCAGACCCAAGTTTTTGTAGACTAGCACATGAAATTCAGAGTAAGAATATATAAAGTCACTAATATTTATAAGGTAAATGAAACTTTTCAGAAGTCGGCTGTAGATACCTGTATTTCCTAGGGTTGTTTTAACTCAGCTGTCTCCAATAATTATTTCCCTACTACGCCTGAGTGTCTGCTTGTGAGAAAGGGAGTTGTCCCCATTTCAAAATAACGGATTGCAGAAATTCTGAGAGAAAACTGAGTCATGTTACATGCACTGCAATGTGTTTGGGACGTTACATCTACACCAGGAAGTATGCTGTTGGTGAAGACAAATAAGAGAAACCATCCCTCTTTTTAAACTGGCCACTTTCGTTTTAAAGCCATATAAACCTGTTACTATGAATTTTATTCACTACGGACTAATAGTGATTATCTGTGCTACATGGCTTCTGCTACTGAATACTGAATTTAGTTTTCTCAGGTTGTACTGCAGACATATGAAGACTGAGAGGGTCACTGAACACAATGCGATTCCTCATTCCACTCACATAATCGCCAGAATTCATTTGGTGTGACTCTAGTTAACTGAGACTAGCCCTTGCTTTATGTATGGCTTGAGCATCGCTTTGGATAGCTCCCAAATACGTTATGTGGTATTACATCATATTCAGGTCAAGTTAAAACCACTGGAGCCAAATCGCTCAAACATCTTGCCTTTGTGTTTTCCTCCTCCTACAGAGCCTACAGATCATTCTTGCACCATACAATGGTATTAACATTTGAGTGCCACTGTAGAAAGCGTACAGGAAACTTAGTAGGCGGGAAGGGCCCCAGGGCCTGTTTAAACACAAGTGTGATAACTCCTGTTCCTTTTGAAGTGCATCCTTTAAGAAATGTGAGGGTGGGTCAAATTAATTCTGCAGTATAGATCTTACTAACTGCTGTGTGTTCCTCACTTCTGTTTACATTAAAGATGCTTCAGACATACCTTATTAGGTCAGCATACTTTATTAGCTCATTATTACAGACTGCCTTTAAGTTCTAGATTTAACTTGCTGCCCCATCTGCTGATATTGCCATAGAGATGCAACAAAGCTGTCTTAAAAGACCTTCCCAAGGGTAATCTGAGTTATTACATAGAGATCTGTGGAAGGAGTAGAGTCATTAGGCTGTCTTCTGGCTCTTTAATTCATATTAGTGTTCAATATCTTGCAGTAAAAAAAAAAAAAGCCGTTTATTTTAGTGAGTCATAAGGGTATGCAATGCCATTAAAACTAGTAAAAACATGATTACTGTAAAACAAATACCTTTTCGTAATGCAGACTAATCCCAAGGGAAATTATCAGATACTTGTAAGAGATCTGTTGTGTAAGAGAGGGGGGAAAAAAAAAAAAGTATTTTAGTCAAAACCGAAAACTCTACTTCAAAGCAAATTTAAGTTATCTGACAGCAACAGAGTCATAAGGGAAGGACATATAGAGAACATTAGTAAAGTAAATATTAAGCCCTAAGTTGAAATGCTAATTGCATTACGAGTTATATGAACAGCCTTTGCTACACCCAAAACCAAGCGTTTGGAGCAAAATACTCTATCTTTTGTGTTCAGTTCACTATAAACAGGGAAAAGACTTAGGATAATGATATTTTAAGTTGATGTTATTCTAACCTAGTTATCTACAACTTTTTTTATTAGAAACAGATTTTAAGATCCAGTACTTCTCGTAAGACTAAGTAGAAATTCCTGGCTTCCTAGATGCTGGAGGAAGGTCTTGCTCAATAGGCAGTTCCAGGGGGATCTGCAGGAGGTGAACAGACAACTTATGACATTGAATAAGAGACTAAGAATAACACTTTTTTTCTTTTTTAAACATTATTACCTTGATATCATTCTCCAGCCAGACGCAGTTCTTATCTGGATCCAATGCTGTAACTCGAGATTTGATCCACTCAACACCTTTAGGCATTACGCTTCCTGTTGGACGTGCAGAAGTTGCCAACTGCTTTGCACCACCACCAACCAGGGTCCACAGTGGCTGATAGTAATGAGTCTGAAAGTAATGGTCAAATGGACATTTAAGAACTGTTTAAAGGGACTTTGAGATAAAGGCACATCACCCCAAATAGGAAGCAATGTGCTCTTAACATTGTATTATTAACAAAAGAAGCTGTATAAATAACCAAGAGTTTTGCATGACAAAGCTGGAGGGATCCATGCATCTCTATCACGGAGCAACAAGTTAATGCAAAGCCTTCTAAAAGATGGTTAGCTGGCTTCCTCTCCACAGTTAAAAACAGGCGAGGTTGAAGAAGGATGAGAATCAGACCTATCTGGTCACATACATAAAACACTTAATCTTTTTGCTGCTTTACATCTGAGGAAGACTTACCTCGCTTGGCTCAACAACAGCCACATTTCCTGCCCCCACTTTCCTCTTCATCCGAGCGCTCATGGTGATTCCACCAGTGCCTCCACCCAACACAAGTACTTCATAATAATCCTTGGCAGCACACCTGGCTGCCGTATGTAAGCCAAAGGAGCTCATCTTCTGCATTCCTGGTTTCAGCAGCCATACACCAGGACGGAGACAGGAACAGGAGGACACTACTCCAATTGCTGACATTTTTCAGTAAGCGGGAAGCTACAAGATAAAGAAAGGCACCCGTAACAACTACAGAAGGTAGAATTTGTATTTATTTATATGCCTGGATGAGTCTTAAAGGCAAAATGGTAATACTAAACCTTTGCTGCAGCTAAATGACTAATTTGCAAACAAATTGTAATCAATTTGGGGAAGGAAAAAAGAAAGTCAATCATGGCCTCTGCCAGAAAATTGAAATTGAAATTTCATACAAGCAAATTAATTCTAACAAAGCATAAGAACATTTTCTTGTTATTGTGGCAGGAAAGTATATCTGATCCTATAGCACAGGCAATGCATATGCTGTAACTCCAGCTGTAATATTACAATGCCAAAGAGATGAGGGCCGCAAAAAGGAACAAGAATTTGCTAGGTGTTGTAGATTACTGAAATACTATACAAGGTAGTTGTGTGAACATACTGAGTGCCATTCCACTAACTGTCAGCCAAACACATCATTACATTCATATTTTTATATTAGGATGTACCAGCATATGCACACATTGGACATATCCCTTCTCGCTGCCTCCCAGGGGTGCAAGCCATTAGGAAAAGCATGCCAAGTTCTATGGTGCTTTGAGCAAGGGCGTGTGTATCAGTCTATTCTTGCAGGAGAAGTAGCGAGCCCTAAGCTTGATAGGAAAATGAAGTTCAATGAAACAAGAGTGTACATCTTCCTAGATCTAGGATCTTCAAGTGTACCCAAAATACTTAGTCCCCTACCCATGGTCACCTCTTAGCTTTCACATCATCAAAGTAGCTGGAAACAAAGGTCAGAAATCCATGCTTACCCTTCCTACAGCTGCACCCTGTCACCTGACAAACGAGAGCCAGAACCCTAAAGCGTGGTCTATCTTAACAATTGTAGCACTGGATATGCAATTGCATTATCCAGAAGACAGTCAAGGTTAACCCACGTTTCCCTCCCTCTGCTAGAGTAAACAAGAGCTTTTTGTGTTCTAAATCTATTGTTTGCACATGCTGAATATCAGTTTTTAGCTTTTCAGTGATAGAACAGGTATAAACTCATTTTAATTCAGTTCCTTATTGCCACATTGTCAATAAAAAATGAGTGAGCATTATAACCTGAAAAGCAACTTGTGACAAGACCTTCCTGTGTTCTATACCTGCTCCCCTTTGTTTAATCCCTTGAGTCATTCAGGCAAGAATTCCATCTTTTTCACTTAAAAAGGGCAGAACTCACTTATGGTCCTTACAGACACAAGTTTGAAAACTAAACTAGAAACCTCAGATATCTTAAAATCTTCCAAGGTCAGCTTCAAAAATTCTCCACTAGTTGAGCACTTCATTCTCCACCTTCATGCACTATCTTAACACCCCACATCTTCACGTACCCCGAATTCTTTATGAAGTGCCATTAACAACCCCTACAGTACAATTAATTTGGGACAGAGAGGGAAAATCTCAGAGGCATCCACTGTAAAAACAGTTTTAATAATTTTATTTTACAGGAAGTTTCCAAGATGCAGACATATTCTTCCCACACCCCTCCCCTTCAAAATAAAACCCCCAGCTCTAGAGTTAGTTTCCCTTTAGAAGGCTGTTTATCATGTATTTAGTGCAGGCAGTTATGTAAAGATGTGGACAGACTGCTCAAGCAAGGCGAGGATGTTGTTCTAGCCCTAGAAATAAAAGTTACCCGATGGAGATGTGTGCTGCTTTCTCCGAGTCAAGGAGAGATGAACAGTGAAGAGTAAGTTTTGCAACTTCCGTTTGCGAGACCGTTTGAAGAGGGACATCCTGTTTCCGGACGCTCATGAACACAGGATTTTGTTTTGGGTTTTATTAAACACACAGAACAGGCACAGAAGCCTGCTGGTTGACAATACACAGTGTGTCCAAACCAAGAGAACAAGACTTCTTCATTCCTTATGCTTAGGAATAATTATCCTCTCTGACCAAACAGATTTTTAAGTAAGCATGCTTATGCTTATAAACAGACACAAGATGTACCTTAACTAACAGCAGTCTAATTGATAAGAATGCGGTACGATGTTGCTGTTAAGCTGTTTCAGAGTTAACAGAAACAAACAATCTGAAGTGTCACTTGTAGGCAGCTGTTTTAAAAAGAACAGCAAAATCCTTCAAATTAAACGCCCAAGTTAGTCAGCAGCTGTACAACTGAGCCAGTCAACAACACATCAGCCCTCTACTCTGGGCACTGGAGATAAAGGAACAGGGGAATTACAGACCAAAAATGAAGGTAAAGGGGAAAATTCGTAGTTAGCCTACTGAACTGAGCTGAAATTTTAAGCTTTTACAAGACCATTTTAGTACACAGCACACTTATCCATCACCCTTTAAACTACATACAACCAAACACGACCGTCAATATTAGCCTTATGTAGCATGAAATCACATTCCTAACGAAGGAGCACTGCCTAGAAAGGCAACGCCTACAATATACTTCACCTTAGCGAGGGCTGTGCTTAGCCTGAGACAGTTCTGCTGTTTAAAACTAGTTCTGTCACCAGGAGAGGTAAGTCTGTCCTACGAATGCCTTCAAGACAGGATGGTTTGTTGCAGCGTCAGCAGCTTGTGTAACGCTACTGCAGCACAACTCGCCTAGCACCGCATAAAAATCAGGGCAATGCGACTCACAGTAAGTTCACAAAAAATGTCATTTCTACCAGAAGCAGCATTTCAAAGCTTTTCCCCCCCCTCCTTTTTTAAAATTGGGCTTTTTTTTTTTTTTTTAAATAGACATCTTTAAAATAGCCAATGACTGTCGCACCTCCATTCACAAATCTCTTTTCCCTTTTACTGTAAGGTGACTTGTTTGCATGCCTTTAGAATAAGTCTGTTTAATTAATACTGAAGAAAATGCACTTAAAAAAAAAAAAATCACAGTTAAGACTGACCAGGAGAGCTCAGTGTTGTTTAGTATATGAATGCCATTAAGCAGCTTAAGGTAGTAGAAGCATAAAAATAGTGACTTTTCAGTTAAAAAAAACCAACAAGGAAACAGAAAACACTGTTTTCCAGAGTTAGTAGCTTATATCCCTTCAAGAGATTGAGAAAACAAACCATAAGGAACTTTCTTCATTAAGCTGTTCTTATAAAACAAATGTATGACACTTCTACAAGCATCACTGAGGAAATTAATTGGTTACCAACTTTTAAAAACCTTTCTTTAGAAAGAAGAACCTTGTTGAAAAGAGGTTAATTAGGTAATGCATTACAATTTAGTATTTTTGTGAATTTTAACCAATTCCATTCTCTAAGAAAACAGCAGATTCAACAGAGCAGGGTAAGTGTTCCTCAGCCAGTTCTGTGCAGAACCCAAAGCAGAGCAGCTGAACTCCACCTAGCCGCATTCATTACAGCTGCTGCTATAACCTACCATCCAGCCCATAAACAAGCTCAAAGTGTAAAAGTTATCTCTGGCTACAGGTCTCCCCATATTAATGGCCACGAGTAAACAAAATCAACCACTATGCAACACAGATGCGGACAAGTCAGAAATCCAGTACTGGTAAATCACAAGAGAACCTCTTCTCGCATGCCTGATTAGGTCCACTAGCTGATCTAACATGGAAGGCACTTTGTCACAGTTAATTTTGCAGTTTTACCTATGCAGAGGAGGCATCACAGAACAGGTACATCCTCAGACCCAAGGGACACAGGCAGAATACGATGTGTTACCAGCCATTCTCTTGTCGCGTCTATAGATTCATATGCTTAATAATAAGCCTTGGGAGACACAACCAGTGCCTAGAACAAACACTTAACTCAGGACAATCACAACTGTTTCCTCTCTGGAGTATCTATCATACGCTTAGCTCCCAAGACTGACTACTTCATGGAGCCAGTTTAAGAACTATTGCAGGCCGTTAGAACAGATGAAGTTAGGTAAGTCTTACTAGCAAGAGTAAAGATCATCGCAACTATCCTCTAAACAGTTGACCACAGATTAACAGTTTAAATATCCCACCCGGGCACAAACACTCGGCAGCTCCAGCGTGCCAGCGCACAGGCAGCAGTTTTTCACCCCGCC